GCTGCATCAGCAGCACGTTTTAGAGGTAGGACGCTGATGTGAAGACAGCTAATGCTAACCAAGAGTGGTCTCATGTGCTGATTGGTTTTATTGAGCACATTTATCTACATATAGGCAAATAACTATCCTGTTTCTGTCGATAATATTCACAGCTTGTTTTTCCCACTGTTCCCAGAAATTATTTATTTTTCTCTAATGGTGGCCTGATGTTTTCTTGGCTTTCACAAAACACACTCCCATAAGCAGTGGTGAATGAGCACATGTTGTATCTCCTGGTGGTTCTTGTTGCTGCTGCTGCTACATCAGCAGCACGTTTTAGAGGTAGGACGCTGATGTGAAGACAGCTAATGCTAACCAAGAGTGGTCTCATGTGCTGATTGGTTTTATTGAGCACATTTATCTACATATAGGCAAATAACTATCCACGTGTTTCTGTCGATAATGTTCACAGCTTGTTTTCCCCACTGTTCCCAGAAATTATTTATTTTATCAACAAATCCACAGAAAACAAATGGAAGTTTGAAAATCCACCCAAATGTGGAGACAACACATAGGACAATGTGATCAGTTTGTTGATTTGAACTACTAGAAAACATAAAGACATCTAGAAGAAACCCATGAGGATTCCAGGTTTGTACACCACTCCAAATATTCTACTAGACTTTCCATGCATATATGGCTGGATATGGTACATATTTATATTTTTGAATTTATTGCTTTTTTGGGGGGGGCGGGGGGTGTTTATGTTTACTACAATTTATGCTGCTTTTTATAGAAGGGTTTCTTTAGACAGAAACCTGACTTTTATTTTACTGTACACAAGAAACAAACAATAAATTTAGGCAAAATATCATGAACCTGGAGCAATAAAACAGTCCATCATTTATTCAACAGCTGCACAGATCATGAAATATGCTGCATTTCAACTATGCATGTATGCATGCAAGGAGAATGCGACTTTCAGCTCAGGCAGGCACATTCCTTCAGCGGATACTGCTGATACTCAGTGAGGAAAAATAATTGGAAAACATATTTACTTCATTTCTATGTTAATAAATCCACAACACCTCAAATGTGCACCAGTTCCATGACCTCGTGATTCAGCCATTACTTTTTCCTGATAACTGCTGTAAACAGTCATTTATTTCAGTCATGTCACTCTGTCTCACTGCTCTAGTGGAGACTTGACAGGGCTCCGAAATATGGCTGTGCAGAAATTAAACAAATTAAAACAGGCTGGCAGCCAAAAATAAAAACAACAACAGCCTCTCACCACCAAAAGGAAATAATATCCCAGCTTTTCTTCCTCCTCTCTTCTCAGTTACTTGGTCATGAAATGAATTACGGGCCAAATCGATCAAAGACGCTCCGGCCTAGTCATGTGTGAGAGGCCGACAACATCAAACCCAGGGAGAGTTCACCGGGTTGATTTGTGACAGGTGAGCTGCAGCTGGACTCTTATGAGGAGCAGATGAGCAGCTCACGAAAAGAGGAAGAGGAGGAAGAGGGGGAGGAAGAGATGAAAAATGAGACAATAAATTTCAAATAGAAATAAAACACAGACGGTTTGTCAGGGATATTTCCAGGTTCCAGGTGGTGTACCAGGAGAATAATTAGGAACCATTACCGTTATTAAAATGAAGTGGTTAATAAATTGGTTGAAGAAGAAGTTGTTTGGGCTAACTCTAAACAGGATTTGTCTCCATGCTGGACCTGGAGCTGTCATTTTGTCTAAAGAAAAAAAAAAGACCATTTACTGCACCACCTAAAATATTTAGCTTTTCAGATGCTTTGTGTCTCAGTAGCATTTAAAAGCATGCTTTCTAGACAATTAGAGAGGGAGGTGGTGCATTCACTGACAGTACGACTGTTAGCTTTTAGTATATAAGATGGGCCAGAAAGAAATCAGCAGCTGGTTCCTGAGGTTAGGGCTTTGTTCATCTCTGAAACACCTCTGTGGTTGAACAGATTTAGACCATTAGGTGGGGCTAAGTGAAGCATTCTGGATCAAAGATGACTAATATTATATATATAATAAATAAAGACAAATAGAGAATATAAAAAAATGTTAACGATGACGTTACTTTTTGTTTTCTTATGGAGTATACTCCTGGTTCATGTTTACCAGATGGCAATGAGAAACAAACAACCCTTAAACCAGAGCACAGCGCTGTCTAGTGTATGGTCGGGGCACTGCATGTGACCTGAAGATTGAAACAGTGATAGGTTCTTATCATAACACAAATGTAAATCTCTATCTCGGGTCTGTTTCTTCACTAGTGTAAAAAGGTATCAAAGTTACCCCAGTCACTGTCACTGTAGTTGATGTTTGTGGTTGGTCATAACTGAACTGGAGTACTTACTCTTAAAGAGACCTAAAAATTGTACAGTGGTCTCTGGAGGGCTGTGGGACAGAAACACCTGGCTGCAGATGTTCGTGGCGGTGGAGAACACTCCAGAACATGGTCTAAATTGTTGTAAACTTGTTCTGTCTGTGAACTGTGACCCAGATTGTCTATTCACCTTCTACTGCCTAGTCCTCTGCAAGGACGGGTTGAATCCCAGTAGTCATCTGGGGATGGAGGTGTACACTCTGGACATCACTGGTCCACATATAGGGTCAAATAATTCAAACCTCAATCGGAAATAATCAACAGTCAATGTAGTACTCCACAATACTCGGTGACAACCCACCAACACTTACAGACACAAACTACCGACAGAAAGACCATTAGTTACCCCCAGGGATCGCACTGGTGATGTTCTTGCTGTAAGGCAAGTACTAACCGCGTTTCCATTGTGTGGCCCTAAACCAAAAATCTCCACAATGACCATGGTCCAGACTCAACTCACCTTTTCACCCTGATAATCTGGTCCCTCATGGGCTTGATGTCCTGAAAACTTTGCTGGTTGACCAGGCTGTAGACCAGGATGAAGCCCTGGCCGTTCCTGATGTAGAGGTCCCGCATGGAGGCGAACTGCTCGGTGCCGGCGGTGTCCAGGATCTCCAGCACGGACGGGGACGAGTCCACTTCGATCTCCTTGCGGTAAAAATCCTCGATGGTGGGGTCATACTTCTCTATGAAAGTACCGGTGACGAACTGAACGGTGAGGGCGGACTTGCCCACGCCGCCGCTGCCCAGAACCACCACCTTGTATTCCCGCATGGCTCTCGGTTACCACAGACGCATGATTCCCGCAGACTTCCCGTCTCGGATCCTCAGACTCCAGACGCAGCAAAGCAGACACCGATCCTGATGCAGAACAAAGAAAAAGTCTGGGATGATCAGTGGTGATGGAGCATCTACGGCCGAGGACGCACAGCCTCCACCGAGACGTTCCCACGCTACCTCAGAGAGACACCACTCCACAGGCATCCAACATGCAGTAAGGCTGTGTGTTCAGGCTGAGGCTGTGTGAGTGAACGGAGCATCTTTGTTCATATGGAGGCGATGCTGCAGCTGCTTCATGTTCTCACCTCTGCTGGGCTGCAGGAGACACCAGTCAGTCTGCAGAGTTAGTTTGAGGACAACAGATCTGATGCTGCTGCTGCTGCTGCTGCTAGTGCTGCTGGGAATCCACGCCTCTGGAATTGCTGCATCCACCGTTTCCTGGAACGTGGTATGGAGGGCGATTAGTGCCACCACAACAAAGACATACAATTAGCCATAATTACAGTGGGTTTTAAGGGGTTTGGTAAAGAAAAAAAAAGCATGTGAAACAATACAAACAGTGATATAAATACAAAAACTCTACTGTATTTACTGTACATTTGAATTAAAATCTATTACAAAAATTAGGCGACTGAGGGAAGGGCAGATTAAATAAAACAGTTAAGCTGTATAACATTGGTGAGAATATACTCATCAGTTATATGGAATAAACGCTGCACTGTGTAAAATTACTGCCAAAATCAGGTGATTGTCACTAAACCAAAGGTTTAGCTGTTGTAACAGGGTTTTAGCAATATTTACCAAAACATAGGAAAAATGTTATTGTTGTCAAAGAACCTGCTAATTTTTAAAAGGTATGTATATCTGGACAAACTGATTAACAAGATGTGAAAATTACCACAATGAAGAAGGTCTTACCTGAACCAAAGCCTGTAGGAAAAGGCAGTAATTCCACCAGAAAACCTGACGTCTGCTAACGTGTTACTCACATAAATGCACACAAACATTTTAAACACAGAAGTTGAATAATAACAATAATTTCAAGGTTCAGAGGGAGGCAGCAGAAGAACAATGACTCCTGTCTGCTGTGATGTAAAAATGCAGATTTTTCATTGGACTTTGGTGCAGTGAGTGAGACGGTCACAAAGAACAGTATCACACATTTTAATAAAATGCTTTTTTAATTTAAATTCAAATGAATGGCAGAGAAAATACAAACAGGCTGAAGCTTGTTGTAGCCTTAGCCCTGT